TCAAATGCCCTCATAAGTGGATTCTCATTGAGTATAACCCTTCTGCAGTTTTTATATGGTAGTCATTTTCTTCTTACACATCCTCTCGAATGGAAATGAGGTCTCCTTTCTATTACAGATTACAAAGGGATGCTCTTGTCTCTCAATAAGCTAAGTGTGTTAAAAATGAAGAATACCTGCCCAGGGGGCTAACATCAGTGAGAAAAAGGGGGAGAGAGAGAAAGTCTGAGAGCCCCCCACAGTTGGGTAAAAAAATCGTTTATATATGTTGTCACAGTAGCAAACTTGTAAGTGAAGTCTAATTTACTGTCAGCGTTTAACTTGTGGGCAATGTTTAACTTAAGAGTAGCATTTAACTTGCAAACGAGTGCGCAGCGAGGTGACCCCTCGAGTTGTTCCCTTTCTTTTGAAGTGAAAGTCGCTTCTTCTATGCATTGCATCTGACAGTGGCTGGGAGTTGATGATTATGGGGGGATTTGCACGCATAATCCCTTCTAATTTGGATTCGAGTCAGCCTTTTGCTCATATTTAAACCAAAATAATCATTATTCCTGCGTAATTATTGAGCCAGAATAATCATATCCTAAACTGATGAACTCATTGGTTAAGTCACTTTTCATGGGAGTAACATATGGGACAATCTTGATCACTTGGATTTATCTTGGTTAAAAGACATATGACATGAGTATGACTGGCGGAGATTCACGCACAATAGATTGAATAATCAAATTAACAATATACATATTAATGGACAACGCTTAATAATTTTTATATTTTTACTTACCTAACATCATTAAATATTTGTAGAATACGAATTAAGTAATAATCATGGTTGACCTCTTTGTTGGGTGGTTGAAATACATATCAAGATCTATAGCTCTAAATTTGTCACCTTTAATTCTAATTTCAAATACTACAATCATTATAAACTTTAACACGAAAACCACTTCTGGCCCAATAGGAATTATATAATATATTATCTTATCAAATAATTAAAAAAATTGAGAAACATGTCACATTGTTACTTGACTATGGCTTGAAATCTTCATTTCATACCCTTTTAAATGCCTCTCATATAATCAGTTCCAACTTAATTTGACTTGGTGAGCAATGTTTATCCTTTTTATGTTGTATTCGTGGCCTATATTTAACCTTACGTTAAATACATCACTTTCAAAATCATTCATCTAATCTAACCATAATGCTACTTAATCAACTAATTAAATCATTCATAACCCAACATTAGTGTTCTTTCGATTTAATATATTTTAATTGTTTTTTTCCTATTATCTAATTTTGATCTATCGACATCAATGGACTTTGTTATTTGACTTATTTGACCATATCTAAGCTAAGTAGGCAAATCAATGGAACTATATGGTAATTAGTAAATGTTCTTATCATTAATTATGTGCTCACATGATTCATTGAGTAAATGTAAGGCAGCTTCAATTGGTGACTGTGTAGCCAACATGTGATAAAGTCAACCCTTTCAAACATAATAAATGGTTTTAAGCTATTGAGAATGTTAGGTCCATAAAAGCCAACCCACGTAGAGTTATATTACATTATTTTTTTATTTTTGGTAACTGGGGTGCCTATGCCAGTTTGAGCACACCTCAACTAATCCTCAGAATTGATTGAACATTCTATAGGCTCGATTAGGTAAACCACAATATTATTATGATAGGTGTAATAGCCACTTTCTACTCAAATACTCATAATGAAATACATATAAAATAATATAAAGAAATTGGGCCCAAAATTTTTCTTTTTATTATATATATATATATATATTTTTTTTTTTTTTACAAACCTATATATTTTTACACAAAACTATAATGTGTATAAAAGTCATCAAAAACATAATAGACAGTGTAACCGCTTCTCCTCGAGCGCCGACGTCCGTCCGACCATGTCCTCACCTAGATCTTACAAAACATAGGAAAACAACGGGGTGAGCACTAAGATAATGCTCAGTAAGTAAATCCTCTACTCATCTATCCCCGTAACTCTCTCTCTCTCTCTCTCTAATTCTTTCCTTACAACTCCTCATTCAATTTCTCTTTGGGTACTTCTCTCTCTCTTTCTCTTTCTCTTAGAACTCTTTTCTAATAACTCTTTAGTAAGTCACGGCCCCATCTTACCGGGGGCACGGCCGGGACTCGCTCCCACTCTACGTGACCTCTACTCATTCTAGCCGTTCGGACTCGGTTATGCATGGATTCGGAACCCTTGGCCATGTGAGTGTGTATCTCTCTCTCGGGTACTCAGGTATAGCCCTCATCCGCATGCACTCTCACGGGCTACACCACTTCTCTATCTCATACTCATGCCGCTCTCTCAATGCGGCGTACATGCGGGAATACTCTACCCATTACTCACGGGTTCCCCATCGCACAACCTACTCTATTCTCTTTTTCTCTTAGCTCTTAAAGTAGCGTATACTCAAATTCTTTACTATGTCTCAAGCTACTTCTTAAGTGCATAAACAATTGTGTATGGATAGCTCATGCTCACTAATGCACTTATGAAATGTCAAATACAAGATTTCCTCAAAACAGTTATTCTGCACAGGTCACACTAAAAAGGGCATAACTTGCATTATACACCTCGGATTGCTATGGTTTTGGTCTCGTTTTAAATCTTAGAGACAGGGCTACAACTTTGATTTTGGTCTCAGCCTAATTCAATCCGTAAAATGTCCAAAAATCACTTAGAACATCACGGCTGTGACAGGGCAGATTTCACTTAGGCATTTCATCAAACAACTTATGTGCATATAAACACTCTACTAAAATTACTACTATACTTCATTCTCTAGCCATCCAAAATGGGTAAAAACTCCCTCAAATACTCATAATCCTTGTCAAGAAAAGCACTTCCAAAAAGGTTTACACAACATCTCTCAAACTTCATCTCAAATTCCATTTCTCATCACACATAAAAAAAAACACTTCTCATAATACATATTCATCTCAACTCAATTCTCAACAACATAACATACTTATACAAGCATACATCTCTATTCAATCTCTAAATCTCTACTCAAAAATTTATTCAAAACTCAAGTTGGTTGGATTTACTTACCTTGTGAAAAAGTGACTTCTCTAGCACTTTTCCTTTCATTTGTTGTCTTGTCTCCTCTCTACAACTCAAAACAACAACAAGCAAATAAGACTTCACTATAACTATAAGAAAATTCACATCTAAAGCATGAATCCTTACCTTAGGATGCTTTAGATGAAATCTCTATTCAAAATTACTCAAAAGCTCTCCTAAATCCCTTAGAAATCTTGGAAAATTGGATGGAGAAAATGAGAGAACTTAGGCAAATGGAAGAGGCGGTGGAATGGATGGACTAAAGGGTTTCTCTACATTTAACTCTTTTTATCTCATATTATAAGCATCATTTCCCATTTTGCCTCTTCCTTCGAAATTCCATCTATATCCTTTGATTCTTTACAAATACACCCCCATCCAAACACAACCTCTACTAAATTTTCTTACATTCTACTCCCCACTTTTCCTACTAATTAGGGGTAGAATGGTCATTGTGCCCCAAAAGAAGGATTCTCTAGAAAACTCAAGAAACTTTGTATTAGGCTCGTCGCCGCGGCGAAGCACTTTCCGTCGCCCCGGCAAAACAGGGCAGAACCTACCCGTGGGTGTAGCTCCTCCTCACCGCGGCGAAGCTTCTTCTTCGCCCCGGCGAAGATTGGATTTCCAAACTTCACCAAACTCAACCAATTTCAAGGCAACCATTCAACCAACTCAACATACCATGATAACAACAAACTCAATTGAAGCTGAAACAGTAAACTTTTAACTAAAGTAAATCTTAAGTACATACCTCAAGTGGGATATTACAATAGGTGACCCAAAAGTTTGAATCCACAAACTGAAGAAAGAGAACAAACCTCTTTGACCGCTATAGAAACCTCTTGGTGTTATTATATTATATTATTAGTCGACTTAAAACAAATAAATATATGTAAATATGTATTTTTGATACTTGTTAGTTGTTATGTAAAAACGCAACAATCATAGGTGTCCACTTGACCTTCAACCGGATTGGATATGATGTGTGCGTGATTTAGAATAACCAACTAAGAACATGTTAAGAGTGCATTAATTGAAAGACAAGAACGGTTTTTAAAGTGGTTTGATGAGTTAGAATCAGGTCAACATCCACTGATATATTATTGTTTTGTATTTACTTTACACACAAAGTGATTATAGGGAAAGAACATGCAAAAACAAGGTTAAACTCTCTCTGAGTGGGTTCCCTATTATTGTGTGAATAATCAATTCCCCAAACGAAGGTGGTTTCTCCTTTTTGTACAATCTTTCTGATAGTGGTTGGGACTTGTGAGTGGCTGCTAGAGGGTGGAATACACGTATAATCTCTTATAATCTGGATTTGAGTCAGACATCTCCATGCTTAAATTTGAACACGCATACTTAATACTGATGAGCTTGCTTGTGAAGTCATCCGCTGTGAGGATGACATATGGGGCGAGCTTAACTGCCAAATCCCAGCATGGTGTAGAGGATAGATAACATGAATCTAATCGTCTAAAAGAACTACACAACATTTACAATACATAATAAGACTATCCTCGTATTCTTTATTTAATAATTTATTTTTGAAGTGTCCAGTGAAATATTTTGCTAAAAAAAGTTATTTTTTAGATGCTTGGAAGCAAACATTTTTTTTCCCCCTCAGAATTATTATTCAGATGCCGTTTCTTTAATAAAAAGAAATTAACACTAGAACACTTAAATCTCGATGTCTCGGTACATATTCTGAAATGGAAAATTATTGGAAGGTCAGCCCATTTTAATAAGTTGGGCCTCAATAGCCCAATTAATGTGTCAACTATCAATGCTCCCAATAACAATCTCTACTCTTTAACAAAAACCTAATCATCATCCCAAAACCTCCCAAAAATCTCTCTTGTTTTTACGATTATTGAAAAAAAATAATAATAAAAAACCCCGCTATGTATCAAGCGAGAACATTGTTGTCAAGAAGCTTCGCAACTCTCTCAAATCATCCCCTACGAGTCTGCATAGTTGGCAGCGGACCAGCTGGCTTCTATACTGCTGAAAAGGTATTGTAGCTGAAATGAACCCCCTTTTTTTTTTTTTTTTTTTTTTAAATTTCAATCTTGTTTCATTTATTGATGCATTGATGAGAATTTAAAAAAAATATTAGACATTAAAGGCGCACCAGGAAGCGCAAGTTGACATCATTGATCGATTGCCAACACCATTTGGATTAGTACGCTCTGGTGTAGCACCTGATCATCCGGAAACAAAGGTCATTTACTTCAATTTTGCTTGTATTTATTCTGAGTTACAGTAGCTTGTATCAGATTGTGTTTGCGGTACAATAGATGTTAGTGATATACCTAGAGTTTTTTTTTTTTTCATTTTTTAAAATTATTTTTCTTTGTGTGGTGTAATTGTCTTAATTGAGCTTAGTTTACCAGAAAATTGCAACAGATTGTGATTAATCAGTTTTCTCGAGTGGCACAACAAGAACGGTGCTCATTTTTTGGGAATGTCTCTCTCGGTTCCTCCATTTCTCTATCAGAGCTCCGTCAGCTCTACCATGTGGTAAAATATCTACCCTAGATATGTTGTTTCGCTGGTAACGCGTTTTTCTTCTAGTCTTCTTATTTTGAATCTTTTAAGTGTAATTTATCGATTTTAGCTGGAATTTGAACAGGTTGTGCTTGCTTACGGCGCTGAAAGTGATAGAGTTTTCCATATACCAGGAGAAGTATGTATATCTAATGCCATCACAGTGTTGTTAGACTTGCTTGTTTAATATAATGGTGCTCAACATCCATATTGTCGTGCACAAAATCGTTGGTTTAATATTTCAAATCATGCGATTATGAATGTTTCAAATGGAGTTGAAATTAAGGTTGTTTCTAATTTTCTTATGTTGAATTTGTTGTAGGATTTATTTGGAATACACTCAGCCAGAGAATTTGTTTGGTGGTATAATGGACACCCAGATTGTAGAAACCTGAATCCTGACTTGAAGAGCACTGACACAGCTGTGATTCTTGGTCAGGTATTCTCTTATAGATTAGTGTGAAACCAGGTTGATTACTGGGTTCTTGCATTTTGAATGACACGTTCTATCAGAGAGTATGTAATTTGTAGAATCTAAAATCATTTATGAATCTTGATTAAATAAGACACGGTCCCAATTTAAGAGGCATCTTGGAAATTGGCAGTTGGTTGAGGAGATTGATTATTAAGGAGTGTATCTGTAAAAGCCAAGTACAATTATTGATATGTAGGTGACTTGTGGTTCCATTTGAACTTTAGTCAAGTGGTGTAGGGGTGGATGGCTCAGTACGGGTTCAAATTTTACTGAAAAAGGAAGGACAGTGTGACACCAATTAGATTGATCTCAGCTGGAGTGTGGTTGGCGAGGTCTTAGGTTCAAATTTTACCAACAGATTCAGCATTCTAGTAACTTAGGACATTAAATGTACTGCTTTTCCAGACCTTGCTTTTTAGTTGTCCAATTGTAAGCGTTTTTAGTTTAATGATTATTGGGGACCTAATAGACTTTTTTTCATTTCAACCCCAGCCAACCCTTCCCCATGTACAAAATTAATTTAAATGGATCCTTATGAGGGACTTTGATCCTTAGACCTCTTGCTTCCACGGCAAGAAAACTGAATAATTAAGCTATTCCATTGGGGATAGAGACCTAGTAGATTAATTGGCAATTAATTGTCTTATATAGTAATAACACCAAAATGACACCGTAATGCATCCCATGAGATTACCACTCTATTTGCTCTACAACTTTTGTTAGAAACTGCAAACTTATGATATGTCCTGTAGGAATGACTTGCACTTATTTTCCAGGGAAATGTAGCTCTTGATGTTGCTCGTATCCTCCTACGACCAACTGAAGAACTGGCAACGACTGATATTGCCAGCCATGCTTTGAATGCTCTGGAAGAGAGCTCTATCAGGTTTCTTGTCCATGATTTTCAAAGCTAGCAGATCAATCTGTCAGTTCTCTCTCTTTCTCTCTCTCTTCTGTCTTTACTGATATAAGTGTAATTACAGGAAAGTCTATCTGGTTGGCAGACGTGGACCAGTCCAAGCGGCTTGTACCACTAAAGAGCTCCGTGAAGTACTTGGTAATTCTTAACATCCAGTCTTTTGCACTAATATTAATCTGATTTATTTACATCCTGACTATTTCTGTGTACACGATTAGTTTTTTATTTTTTTATTTGTATATATTTGCATTCAGAATATTGTGGCTGGTGTTATATGAAATCCCTTTATAATTATGGAACTTAGAGAAGTATTACAATCTTCTTGCAGGTATTAAAAATTTGTTTGTTAACATAAAGGAAGCTGATTTGGTCAAAACCCCAGCAGATGAGGTATATTTCAACTCTTAATATTTTCTGTGTACCTTCCTTACATGGAACATCAAATATTTGCTTTTCTTGAAGGAGAAGACGTGATAAATATTTTGGGGTTTGCCACATTTTCTCTCTCTTGATGTTTTTTGTATCTTGATATTGTTTTTTCGCAAAGGAAGAGATGAAAAATAGTCGTATTCAGAGGAGAGTTTATGAATTGCTCTCTAAGGCGGCTGCTTCAGCTTCTTCCCAATCCAGTTCAGGTCAACGTGAACTTCACTTTGTTTTCTTCCGCAAACCTGATTGTTTTCTTGAATCAGATAAAAGAAGTGACCATGTTTCGGGTGTGCACTTTGAGAAGACAGTTCTAAAAGGTATTTCTTACTATACATGTTTGTCTATTTGTCTTCATGTAGTTTTTGTTGGTTTCTCATGTCTTGGATTGTTGGATGCTAATGAATTGCAAGTTGCAAACCAAAGTAGATTAATCATCACAATGACCACGTGGCTAAATCCAAGAAATAAGCTGTTTCTTTTAATTTTTAAGTGTTATGAGTAATGAGGGAGCTTAGTCAAGTGTTATGAAAAATTTCATTTGAGAAAACGGTTTTAAAAGGTATTTTATTTTTTACATGTTTGTCTATTTGTCTTCATGTAGCTTTTGTTGGTTTCTCACGCCTCAGATTGTTGGATGTTAATGACTTGCAAGTTGCAAACCTAATTTGATTAGTCGTCACATGGACCATACTTTAAATTCTTGAAGCAATCTATTTCTTTAAGTGCTATGGGTAATGAGCAGGCTTAGTCAAGTGTCATGAAAAATTGCATTGTTTATTGTTGAGTTGTACAAATCAAATGTTTTAGGAATAGGATCTTTAGAATAGGAAATTAGATCAACCCTTTCCTAGTTTAGATTATTTCATTTCCTTATATGGATTGTTGAATGTGTATATATTGTTGTATTTTGTTCACAATCAATAAGAAGAAAATTCTTCTGATTTTCACATGGTATCAGAGCCAAGAAATCAGAAATCCTAGAATTTTTTTTTTTTTTTTTGGCGAAGTTCAGTCTCTCTCCTTCTGGTGTTGAATCACTCTTCTAACCACACCAGCCTGTTCGTCTTCTCCTCGCCAACAAAACCTGAAATTTTCATCGGCGGTCGCCATCGCATGCGTCGGTCTTCTTCCGGCAGCTTCTTCTCCGATCTCTTTCTTCGACGAGCGTGAGGTCTCACCGCCAGCACCTGTGCACTCAGACACCGCTGGCGAGCACACCCACCACCATCCAACCTGCATTATCATCACCGCCGCAGCAAATAGCCCACTACCGCCGGAATATTCCCTTTTTTTTTTTTCCGATCTGCCCAGAATCAGTTTAGTTTTTTTTTTTCTCTCCCACAAAACAATCATGCTCCCTGTAGGATCCAACACCAAATCAGGTTCTGTTTCTTTTTTGTCTTTTCCTCCGATCACAACTGAAAAATTAATAGGCAGCTCCAATTATTCCTCATGGGCTGCCTCTGTTGAACTGTGGTGTATGGGACATGGTCTAGAGGATCACTTGACCACTAAAGTTGAAGATGTCACGGATGATAAAACTACCTGGGTGAAGACAAATGCTTTGGTATGTGGTTTATTATGGCAGTCTACTGACCCTCACCTTCATTCTACTTATAAAATATATCGAACCTGTTTTGATGTATGGCGACATGCCAAATTGCTTTATACTAATGATATCCAGAGACTCTATTCTATTGTGTCCAATTTGGTTAATCTCAAACAGCAAGATATGGGCATCTTTGACTTTCTTGGCAGGATGGCCTCTCTCAAGGCAGAATTTAATTTGTTATTACCCATTGGCAAGTTTGAAGCAGCAGATCTGGCACAACGAGACAAATTCTTTATGGTTCTTACTCTTGCCGCTATTAGTCATGCTCTCACTCCTGTACGAGATTAGATTCTGGCAAGTGCTACTGTGCCTTCTCTTGATGACATTTTTGCTCGATTACTTCGAGTCTCCTCCCCTAGTGTTATGGTTGGATCTTCCCCAGTTGATTCTTCTATCATGGCCTCTCAGTCTCAAACTTTTGTTAAAGGAGAAAAGGGGCATCGTAGTGGCAGGGGAGGACGACCCAAGTGTAGTTATTGTCATAGGTGGGGGCATAAACGGGAGAAATGCTACAAATTACATGGGCGTCCTCCTCGAGTTGCCAATGTTCTTATCTTGATCATTATTCTGAATCTTCTGAAGAACCAAGTCGGCCATCCTTGACACTTATAGGTGCTGATTATGACGAATATCTCAAGTTCCAGGCAAATAAGTAGTCTTCTTCATCTGTTGCTTCCCTCGCTCAGTTGGGTAAATCAGTTGCCTGCCTCACTCAGTAGTCTCCTCCAGGGTGTTGGGTTCTTGATTCTGGTGCATTGGATCATATCTTTGGTAACCCCCGTATGCTTTCTCATCTTATTAATACTACCTCTTTGTCTCATGTTACCTTAGCTAATGGGACCAAAGTAGTTGTTAAAAGCAGTAGGTCGTGCACAACCACTCTCCTCCGTGCCTTTAGATTATGTCTTGTATATTCCCCATTGCCCTTTTAACCTTCTATCTGTCAGTAAACTCACCCGCTCTTTAAATTGTTCTATCACTTTTATTAATGACTCTGTTGTTATACATGACCGCAGCACGGGACGAATGATTGGCGTAGGACACGAGTCACAGGGCCTCTATCATCTCAAGTTACCTTCTGCCCCTATTGCCTACACTGTCTCCAAGTCTTCTCTTCTCCTTCATAATCGTTTGGGTCATCCTAGTTTAGCAAAGCTTCAGAAGATGGTTCCAGGTCTATCTACTTTATCGTCTTTAAATTGTGAGTCCTGTCAGCTTGGAAAAGATACTCGTAGGACGTTTCGAAAGCGTGTCAATAAACGGGTTACATCCCCTTTGGAGTTAGTTCATTCCGATGTCTGGGGTCCTTGTCGAGTCTCGTCCATTTTAGGGTTTCAGTATTTTGTTACGTTTATTGACGATTATTCTTGTTGCACTTGGTTATTTTTAATGAAAAGTCGTTCCGAATTATTTTCTATCTTTGAATCCTTTTGTGTTGAAATTAAAACACAATTTAATATTGTTATTCGTGTGTTTCGGAGTGATAATGCTCGTGAATATTTTTCTGCTCCTTTTACCAAATTCATGTCATCTTAAGGAATTCTCTATCAATCCTTTTGTGTTTATACTCTACAACAAAATGGAGTTGCTGAGCGTAAGAATAGACATTTGATTGAAACTGCCCGAACCCTGCTTTTACACAATCAGGTTCCTTTCCGGTTCTGGGTAGACGCTGTGTTAACTACCTGTTTCTTGATTAATAGGATGCCTTCTTCTGTCTTACAAAACCAGGTCCCTCATTCTGCTTTGTTCCCTGATCAACCGTTACACTCTCTTCCTCCACGTATCTTTGGTTGCACATGTTTTGTCCATATCCTTTCTCCATGTACCAACAAACTGTCTGCCAAATCTACCAAATGTATTTTCCTAGGATATTCAAGACTTCAAAAGGGTTATAAGTGTTATTCTCCATCCACTCGTCAATACTTTCTATCTGCTGATGTCACCTTTTTTTAGTCTTCTCCTTTCTTTCCTGCATCAGCCTGTGATTCTATCACCACAGTCCTTCCTATACCCTACATTAAGTCTACTTATGATCATCCTGCAGAGTCTGTTACTATTCCTCCAAGTCCTACCCCTATGGGCGAGTCTCTTCCTCTGGGTGATGCTATTGTTCCAAGTACGACTACTGACACTGTTCTTGATGATGTTCCTGAGGCTCCTGTTCCTGATCCTCCTGCATCAGATTCCTATCCTGCTGTAGCCCTACCTCTTGAAGACTAATTTCCCATTGCAATTCGTAAAGGTATGCGGTCCACTTGCAACCCTCATCCAATCTATAATTTTCTTAGTTATCACCGCTTATCTCCATCATATTATGTTTTTGTGTCAACCATTTCTTCTGTCTCTGTTCCTTCTAATGTTTGAGAGGCACTGACTGATCCCGGCTGGCGTCAAGCTATGGTTGAAGAGATGACGACTTTACATCATAATAATACTTGGGAATTAGTTCCTTTGCCTCCTGGCCAATCGCCTGTTGGTTGTCGTTGGATTTATACTGTCAAGGTTGGCCCAGATGGACAGGTTGATCGACTAAAGGCACGGTTGGTTGGAAAATGGTATACTCAGACTTATGGGTTGGATTATTATGAGACCTTTTCTCCTGTGGCTAAGATGCCTTTTGTCCGCTTGTTTTTATCAATGACTGCTCTCCGCCGCGGGCCTCTATACCAATTAGACATTAAGAATGCCTTTCTTCATGGTGAGCTTCAGGAATAAATCTATATGGAGCAACCACCTGGCTTTGTTGCTCAGGGGGAGTCTGCCTTGGTATGTAAACTTCGTCGCTCTCTGTATGGTTTAAAACAGTCCCCTCGTGCCTGGTTTGGACGATTCAATAATGTCATTCAAGAGTTTGGGATAATTCGGTGTGAGTCTGATCACTCTGTTTTCTATAAACATAACTCATCAAGGCAATGCATATATCTGGTTGTCTATGTCGATGATATTGTTATTACGTGAAGTGATCATGATGTCATTAAACAGTTGAAGACACACTTGTTCCACCACTTTCAGACCAAAGATTTGGGATTACTTAGATACTTCCTTGGTATCGAAGTGGCTCAATCTAGCTCAGGTATTGTTATTTCTCAAAGGAAATATGCACTGGATATTCTGGAAGAAACAGAGATGTCTGACTGTAGACCGATAGACTCTCTTATGGATTCTAATTCAAAGCTCTCACCTGGACAGGGGGAGCCTCTTGCAAATGCTGGGAAATACCGAAGATTGGTTGGTAAACTTAACTATCTCACCATTACATGACCTGATATTTCCATCTCTGTCAGTGTTGTTAGTCAGTTTCTACAGTCTCCCTGTGACAATCATTGGGATGCAGTTATTCGGATTTTAAGATATATCAAGGGCACACTAGGCAAAGGACTATTATATGAAAACAAGGGTCATACACAGATTGTCGGATATTCTGATGCTGACTGGGCAGGTTCTCCTTCTGATAGACGTTCCACTTCAGGTTTTTGTATTCTTGTAGGAGGAAACCTTGTATCTTGGAAAAGTAAGAAGCAAGATGTCGTTGCCAGATCGAGTGCAGAAGCAGAATACCGTGCAATGGCTCTAGCAACTACTAAGCTCATTTAGTTGAAGCAATTAATCCAAGAATTGAAGTTTACAGAAGTAGTAAAGATGAAGTTATTTTGTGATAATCAAACTGATCTCCATATTGCCTCCAACCCGGTGTTTCACGAAATGACTAAGCATATAGAGATTGACTATCATTTTATCAAAAAGAAAATCTTATCTGGTTGTATCACCATTAGTCATGTCAGCTCAAATGATCAGCTAGCAGATATTCTCACTAAATCACTTAGGGGTCCTCGTATTGACTTTATTTGTAACAAGCTTGATGCATATAATTTATATGCCCTAGCTTGAGGGGGAGTGTTGAGTTGTACAAATCAAATGTTTTAGGAATATGACCATATGTTTTGGGAATAAGATCTTTAGAATAGGAAATTAGATCAACCATTTCCTAGTTTAGATTATTTCATTTCCTTATATGGACTGTTGAATGTGTATATATTGTTGTATTTTGTTCACAATCAATAAGAACAAAATTCTTCTGATTTTCACATTTATTAAAAGGTAAAGAAAAATAAAAATGCAATGATTCGACTTCTGATTTGATATATAAATACAGGGAATTACTTTGCCTTATTTAGCATCAATTTGTAGGTGTTGGCCCTGGAAAACAGGTTGCAGTGGGTACTGGAGAATTTGAAGATATTGACTGCAGGTAATATTTTCTGGATAGCAAGTTTTAAAAATTCGTATATATTTCAACTATCAAGTTTTTGGTTTTTTAGCTGACTCTTTATAGGAGCCTTCATGCTACGATTCGTGAATTTTGTTTTATTTTATTTATCTACCTCTTTGAATGTGTTGGGACTATGCCCTATATCTTGACCTGGGAGGCAAATTCTTTTGAATTTTGGAAGTAAAAAGTTTCTTTGTTGATGCCATGATCCTTGTCTCTGCATCAATGAGGAACTGAACGATTAATGAGGAAGGGGAACTAAAGGGCTGCTTCAGATGTTTTGTTCGGTTTGCTATCTTGAATTCAAGTGACTGTGATTTAGTATTGATGGCAATTGTCCTTCCTGTTGGCAGGATGGTGCTAAAGAGCATTGGTTACAAATCAGTACCAGTAAATGGTCTACCCTTTGATCATCGTAAAGGTAAAAAGCAAAAAAGGTTTGTTGTATTTTTAATTTAATATCATTTCCTGCTTATTGCATGTAAATCATTTCACGTCTGGAGAAACTATAATACATTGAGTTCTTCCAACCAGTTCAAAGTTTCAATCCAAAATCACTTATTTATTTTAAATTTCAAGATATATTTAAAAAAAAAAAAAAAAAAAAAAAAGATTAAAAAACTTAATGACATTGTGATGTATAACTAATTTTTGCTCAACTCTTTAAGTAATATCCTTTCTAAAAGTTTTGTGAGTTGAATCAGTGAGGGAAATCATGATTGGGATTTTTCAGGTTGGAAGCCTTGGCTGCATTGTTGTGTCTCCGGAGTTTCTAGAATTTTTGAGTTTTTAAAGTACATTTTTTTTTATTGCATTGGACCATTGAATTACAAGTACTCTTCAAAGCCATCTGCAAAAAAAACATCGTCAAGAGTTTTTCTGAATGTCTGTGGTGCATACTTTTTATGTAACCCATCTCAATTTTCATGGCATATTTTTCAGGTGTGGTTCCAAATGTCAGAGGTCGAGTTTTAAGTGATAATTCAGGAGATCCTACACTGATTGAAAATGGCTTGTATGTTTGTGGGTGGTTGAAGAGAGGACCAACTGGGATTATTGCTACAAACCTCTACTGTGCCGAGGAAACTGTAAGTCTCGCATCTCCTTGACAAAAAGTTGTGTGCTTTAAGAGAAGAATACCTTCATTAGTAGTTATGTTTGAATATCTCACTGCAAGCAATCTATGCTAGAGTTAACTTTTGTGTTAGTTTACATGTAGCGTTGACCAGTTTTATGATTGAATTACTGAAATGATAGGTAGCTAGCATATCAGAAGATCTTGAAAAAGGAATGTTATCATCCATATCCAGTTTGCCGAAACCTGGAAGAGAGGGACTCCTGCAGTTACTGGATCGTAGAGATGTTATACCTATACCATACAGCAGTTGGGAAAAGATTAATTCCGTGGAGAGGAGGCTTGGGAGTTTGAGGAACAAACCACGGGAGAAATTAACATCATGGGAAGATCTGCTAAAAGCAGCCACAACATAAATTAAAACCTTGAGAAGAATATTACCATTTCCCTCGTTTTCTTTATTTTGTAAGGTGAAAAACTTTTCTTTGTGGCAAAAGAGGATAGAATGGAAAACAGCTGAGATCTCATTCAATTTTTAGAGTAATGCTACGAATACAAATTGATGTAATAATATTACATAATTGGCGCATCATGCACTACTTATTTTTTTCCATGATAATATTATTGTTTTATTTTAAAGATGAAGGTGAAACGGGCATTTTTGGTTCACTGTGGGCTTGTGAATGAAAAAGGTTGGAATTTAATAATAATGATATGTTGTATTTGAATTCAAATTAAAGGCGAATCACGCGAGGACTTGTTGATTTAAATGTTCTCGTCCGTTAGTCGCTGATACAGAGTATTTGGAACGATGACAGATCAAAACTTCAATTGGGCAGCCTAAATTGCATTGAGCTGGGTTATGTCATATTGAATTTAGCTGGAAAGAAAATAAGAAATAGATTCTCCCTTGTGGCTACATGGCAAATCCTTGGATTAGTTATACTCATGAGTCTTGTATTTGAGTTACGGGATAGGTAATTATTGGTTTACCCAAAAAAAAAAAAAAAAAAAAAGCAAATATTACCTTAGTTTGACACTTATTTTTTTTCATAATCGGGGTATTCAGGTCAACTTACTTGTACCTTAATTAATATGAGGGTTCATTGAATACCTTATAAACCTAATGGGTTAGGTAAATCATTTGGGTAACACACCCAGATAGCTAAAGTTTTACCGATCACAAGACTAGTGGTTTAGTTCGGCACTTCCCTCAACCCCTTATTAGGTTTATGAATCGAGTAATATTATGAATATAGAACAAATTTTACAATATTTTAAAGAACTTTTCAGTATGTATAAGATGAATTAGAGTACAGATGAGAGAGTATCTTTTTTGTCATTTGAGTCTGAGACTCCAGTGTTGCAAGCCAACAATACGATAGACTGGGACTGGGAAGGATACATTATTTGTAGTTTTGAGTTTATGTATGTGTTTATTACCACAATGATTATACAAATTGAGGTCTGAAATTATTAATTATTATTTCCTGGACACAGATCTTGTCCTTGTTAAACACGTAATTGAGAGTAAATTTTAACAACTTGAATAAATATTTGACATTTGACAGGATGGGTATGGTCAAGTCTCCAATATGACATTCACTGTAATAGCAACTGGAAGAAGCTCTTCACCTACCGTTCTTTATCCAATTCAACAACACAATTCTATTCTGCTGTAACCATAACTTTCTTTAATCCCTCACATCTTCGCCAACCCATATACTCTATTCAACTGAATAATAATTCTACATTTTCTAGTTGACAAATAAATAATGTTGCGCTTTTTTATTTGTTGATAAAACCGGTTGTGTGCAGAGTCAATTCCCACCATTTTTTTTTCAATGCCAAGCACTTGAAAAAGCTGCCATCTTCAATGTGATTAATTGCTATAAGTCTTGTTCAGTGGATTTTATGATGAGAATATTGAATTTTGTAATTGTAAACTTGATATCACATCACATCACAAGTATGTATATCTCCAACCATAACTTCCACCGAAAGGGTTTGCCTAATTAATCAACTGATCTTGTGCTGAAGCAGACTTCCCTTTTCAGGAAAATTAAATAAATCTATTTCTGTAAATGACTTCTTTGGTCTTCAATTCATCATTATCTTTTTACATTCATACTTAGTTATGTACAGTACACGCCATACTCGTGTAAAAGCAAAAGAGACTGAAACCTTATTTAGTTGTAACATGAAAAAGACTCGAAACTGTTTGTTTCTTCCTCTTCTACTCTGAAAAAGGTTGCGTGAATGTAAAATATTTTCGAATTATGAAAGGGAAAACACCAGGAGCCTCTTGTCTCTATAAAGGCCATTTCATCATCAACTTTTCAATAAATGACAAATAGCATTGATTTGATTCTAAATTATAAGTTTCTTTCATAAGCCTGGAGTCTTTTCTACGAACAGAAGTGAGACATACAATTAATTGCCTTCAAAAGGTGCTATAGCAAAATTCTATTTATGTTTTGAGCCCAACTCTCCATGATGAGAAGCAAATGTTTCTCTGCAAGGCAATATACTGAAGTTATTGTAATCAACAAAAAAGATGGGGGCAGATGATGGTTGGTTTGGTTATTTGTCAGTACGTAATTTCAAAAATAGCTAATTTTCAAGTTGATGGAACTGATGAACGTCAAATTTCCACCCATTTCTGTGGGTTGATTCGGCTCTTCTCAGCTTCAATAATTCATCTATAAAAGGGACCCATCAATGGAAGCGATTGGGTTTGACAGTAGGATAAAATTTGCAGGCTTTTATATGTTAAAGATATTCGGCCACTACTTCGCTGTGGCTTCGTCTTTAAGGTTTTTGAGATCCACTGCTATAATAATAACAGGTTGGAAAAATAAAGCCGAGGCGCCGATTAATTGAACATGTGATAAGTCGTCTTGGATCAGGGAGCATGTGTTACTGGTTGTTTAGGCTAAATTCCATTTCAAATCTGTTAATTTGTTGGCATGTCATGGAATAATATGCTCTTTTTGAACCCTTGGAGATTGACTTTTGATTATTTAAGAGAAAATTCATATCAGAGGGTTAAAAGAGAATAAATTAGTAAAATAAAAACCATGCATAAAATACTAGTTGAGGAGGAAGTAGCATCCGGTCCAGTGGGATTGATGGTCCATTTGAGAGTGAGATTCCTCTTGTTTAATCAAATCCGGTATGGGACCAGTAGCTGCTGCTTTTAAGATTCATTCTGTCTCCTCAACCTTACCAGAAAGTCTCTCCTCTGATCATGACTACCATTTCACTTGTTGGATTTTTCCAACGATTATCTAATGCCCTGTTTGCTTTTTAATTCATTTGGTCCTTGTCTAAAACCAGAAAAGCCTCCTCTTTTTTTGAACTTGAACTTGTATTAATGAAATCCAAACACATCCTAACTTTTATTTCTCTCACTAAGAATTGAATTTTGGTGTGAATGCGACCGCCATTATTGTAAAATGGATACTCTGCTTGAATATGGAATTGAAATTGAAGGAAAGAAATTGGAATCCTGAGACGTTAGTGGAGGTTAAAAAAGCATTAATCCATTATCTTGTTGGGTTAAACACGTGGGAATCACTGTAACAATTAAAAAAAAAAGTTGCATTGCAGAGAGAATAGAGATGACCCACAACACAAATGCTTCCACCACCAACCATAACTCATTTATTGGATTATGACACTCGTATTTGGAATTGAGCTTTGCCCAAACACAAATCTCGATCCTACTGCAGAAATTAATGAAGTCTGAAGTTAAAAATTCTAAAGCCTTTCTTATTATCATCTTTAAAAAAAAAAAAATCAACATATAATTATCAGTTAAAAGAGAGCCCACATCAATGTTTAAAATTATATTGAAAATTTGAAGCTGACAGAAAAAGGGGTGAAGTTGAAGGTAGTGTGGAGATTGTTGGGCAATGAAATGGAAGTTTTTTTTTTTTTTTTTTTGCTTAAAACTGACTTTTTTTTTTTTTTTTTTTGCTTAAAACTGACACATTGAAACTCCTCCATGTAACAGAGACAGTACACAGATGCCCAATGCTTCTCCACTATCTTTTAAGTTGTGACACTGTCGCTGTCCCATCAAACATTTCTTCTTTTTCAAAATCTTTAATTGCATTTCAAAGTAATTAACTATATGCCTTCCGTTCAAAAACTCCTTAATATTAATAATTTGTACAAGTAGAAACATTTTAGTATTCATAGAAAGTGAAAAAAGTCCTGGAGCGTTCGATCAATATAAACATAACTCCGTTTTGTCTCCCACCAACCCCTCTCTTTGCGTGGACTTCTGTTAAACCCTGCAAACTTTTATTATATTTGCAATTATTGTGCCATCAAACCTGCTCATTTCAATTAAGATTTCACTGAACTTCAAAACTTCCTTGATTATACTTGTTAATGGAAGTCTGGTTTATCAACCCCAAATCCAATCATTAAAATGGTTGTAACTTGATAAAATGTAGTTAGAGGTTAATTAATGCAAGGGATTTCTGGAAATTTGCTGCCAAGTGAACAACAACAGTGACTTCTCTTTCATGTCTTCAGAAACAAAGATTTCTTTTCAGTTAATCAAACTGCCGTTTTCTTTTCTCCTCTTGTTAGTGTCTCTCGTGTCAGCTTTCTTTCACTTTCTCAGCAACCAAACAGCGAATCCGCCAAAAAATCCCATTAAAATTTTTTTTCGCAGTGATTTTCTGTCTTCCACCCTCTTCAAAATCCGAGAAATTTTGGCCTCCATTTCGTCCTTTCGTTATCTACCACCCTGAATTATTTTATTTCTTTCTCTCAAACACTGTATTTGCGCTATCTTAGCAGTCTCGTCCATGTCATCATATGCTCGGCGCACTTTAGCTTTTTAAATTATTTTTCTTTTTGGAAAATAGATTATAAAAGGGGCAGTATCGGAAAGTTTGCCGGGAACTTTCTGTGTCTTGTCGGAGTGGTTGCCCACAGAAAGCTTTATATAATAATATAATAATATAATAATCAATTATTTATTTTTTAAAAAGCAACCAAGTCAGTAACCAAATAAAAGAGTTAAAAAAATTAAAAAAAAAAAATTGTTAAAAGGCCTTTCATTTCGTTTTCTCAGTTTGAGACTTATCAATTACTTACAGTTGTGAGAAAAATATATAGAAAGAAAATATTGAGTATCCAAAAGACTAAAGAAGCTTCTCTGCTTTGCTAGCTTCTCTGCTTTGCTTCATCATTAATAATCATAAACTGAACGTTGATATATCTTGTTTTTTTCAGAAAACAATTAAAAGTTGAAGAGACTTGTTTGATGTTTGTTTGAGTAGTGTTGAAGTATGTCAGTGTAGCATGATTACATAGGATTATCAGCAGAGTCAGAGGTTCCGAATTCAATGGAAAACTCAGGATTAAACCTGAAAGCAACGGAGTTGAGACTGGGGTTACCGGGGTCAGAGTCACCTGAAAGAGAGAGTAGTGAGAACAACACTGTGGTTGTTTCAGTGAAGAGCTTTGTTGGTTCAGGAGCTAAAAGGGGTTTCTCTGATGCCATTGATGCCAAGTGGGTTTTCTCTGGATCTGACCCTGCCTTGTATTCTCCAAGAACTGCTGCCAGTAATGGTTCCAAGCTTCTCACCGCTCCCAATTCGCCTTTGGCTACTCCGGTCGTGAAAGAGGCTGCTGCTCAGTCACCAAAGCCGGTAGTGCTGCAGGACAAGAAGCGTCATGGGATTGCTTCTTCTTCAAAGTAAATATAAATATATATATATTTGTCTTCCTAGACCGTTTTTCTGTGTTTACTTGTTTGTCTACTTGGTGAGTTTTGATTTTGTTTTGTTTACTAGAAAAATCTTGTTAAGGAGAAGAAAAAAAATATTTAATTCGAGTGTGTGTGTCTGTGGTTTTTAATTTTTCTATATTCGCTGTTATAATTATTGAAAAATATAGAATTTTATAACCTTTTCTTTCAATTAAAGGAGAGTTCCTCCTGAGCCGGTCTCTACTCTGGTTTTATAATTTATGCTACTTGGTTTTTGTGGTTCACTATGCTTTTAATTATGCTATTGGCTTTGTTGTTGACTGCGCTCTTAATTTCTTTAGCATCCTGGTGATTCATGCTTTTATGTTGCTCATGATTCCAATTGAACTTCCCATAGCTGTGTTTTGGCTTCTATATACCACCTTTTAGGATGTCTTTCATATTAAAGTTGCAAACAGAGATTACCAAAACAAAGATTTCAGGATGTCTGTAATTTAGTTTCAAGATATTATCCAGGTGTTGTTGCCTTGAAATTTTGTATTTATGATTTCCACTGGAGAATGGTATCTGAATTTGTTTTTGCAATTTATAACTGCATTAGATATGAAAAAAAAAAAAAGTTGATTGATATTCTATTCTAAGGAAATCACAACAAACTCTGGATCCTTCATGTGTGTATTGTGTGACAGGGCACAAGTTGTGGGATGGCCACCAATTCGCTCTTTCAGGAAGAACACAATGTCTTCCCATTCTTCAAAAAATGAAGAAGATTCTGAAGCCAAGCTTGGATTGGGATGCTTGTATGTTAAAGTCAGTATGGACGGTGCTCCCTACCTGCGGAAAGTTGACCTCAAAATCTATGGCAGCTATATGGAACTGTCGTCAGCTCTAGAGAAGATGTTCAGCTGCTTTACAATCGGTAATACCTCTTTGTTACTCATTCCAGCAATTGCCACTCTTTTCTCTCTGCACGCATGCTTCCAAATCTCTCTCTTAATGATAAATACTAGCATCTTTTGTGGAGAGAAGTTAATTCTGTTTATAAAATGTCTGGTTCAGGTCAGTGTGGCTCTCATAATATTCCCAGCCGAGATGGATTGAGTGAGAGTAGATTAATGGATCTTCTCCACGGTTCTGAATATGTGCTCACCTATGAAGATAAGGATGGTGACTGGATGTTAGTTGGTGATGTTCCCTGGGAGTAAGTGTTTTCTCAACCTATAATCTTTATAGATATTTGGTCAAATTGCTGGAGCATTCTAGGTTGGGTGAATCACTGCCCAAGTTATTTCAGGTTTTAGGAACTGGGACATTATAGATTTAGAGGCAAAGAAAACATATCGTCCAAGTAGATCAATTCCTCATTTCTTAACTTGAATGATATCTCTGCGTTATCGGTCGGTGATGGAGCCTTCCTAACATTTACTGTTTGGCGCTGCAGAATGTTCACCAACTCTTGCAAGAGGCTTAGGATAATGAAGAGTTCAGAAGCTATTGGTTTAGGTATGGAATTCAATTTCTCATTTAATTTATTATCCTATCATTGGTAATTCTAAACCAATAAAATTCTACCATGTATCCATCTGACTGTGGTATCTGGTTGCATAGTTAAAATCTATTTCAGGGGACAAAATGACTGACACATATGTTTCTGCATCTGCTGCTTGCAGCTCCAAGGGCAATGGAGAAGTGCAAAAACCGTAACTAGTTTGGTGCTGTTGCTGTTGCTACAGATTGATCTCATAATGTCCATGGAAAAAAGACGACCGCAGTTGCTACCATCTGACTGTTGAAAGTGCTTAATGGGTCTCAACAACTGAGTCCTCTATTTGCTTTTATGTTTGCTCCTAAAATTGAAGACTTGGTGTACTAATGAAATAATTATACAACCGTAGCCAAGAAATAATGTTGTTGGAGGATTTATTGATGGTTGTCCCCTCTTGATCTTTTCTTTTTTTAATGTATTATGATTGCTGGTTGATCATGTCTGTATAAATAGTCTGTTTGCTGTAGACACCCTCTCTCACTTGGTATTCAATAGAACTCCGGTATTATAATATCTGTTTGGTTGCCAAGAACTGAAGTTTCTTCAATTGCTTTTTATTGTCTAGATGACTGGTATATTGCACATCTGGAAGTAGAATGTGGACCTATTTGGATAGGTGCTACACAGGAGAAATCAACTAGTATTTATTGAGAACAAAGAAAATCACCTCATTCTGTCACTCTCCAACAATGTTTTAAGACTCAACCTGGGGTGAAACCCGACAAAGTTGTCGAGTCTCGAATTGACCGGTTTAACTAGTTTGACTGCAGATGACAACAAAATTTAAAATTCAGCAACTACACCCCTAAAAATTACAGTTAAGTCTCTATAGTTTAAAATTTAGCAAACACACCCCAAACACAAATCGGTCGACGACGGTTGACAGCAGTGACACTCCAAATGCAACTCCAATCGTCCCTTGAGCCCATTCCCCTTGAAACATACCCAAGATCTGGCCGAAATAGGTTCAATTTTAGCCAAATCTCACCGACACCAACGTTGGCATTCTAGGTCAGATCTCACCGACACTAGCATCGGTGACCCTCCCCATCACCCCAAAATTACTTCCCTTTTCCTCTCGACCAAAACCCACCTCACCCACCCCCGTTAACCTCACCAATCGCCGACAAAAGCCAATTGTTGTTGTTGCCAGTTCTGTTCGATTTCCGATCTATTTACTCACCAGAAATCAATCCCGTCACCATCACTACACTCACTGGCACTTTCTCTTCAAAAGCCCCAACATCCCGACCTTTAATTGTTCGCCAATCATCCTCCCAAATTCTAGAGTTTTGGGTAAATAGGAAAAATGTAAACTCGACCAGGTGAAGCTTCCAAGTCCTAGCTAAACCGATCGGGCCGGGTCTTAAAACATTGCTCTCCGATAGTAATTACTTTTTGAATGTGAACATTTAACATTAGGTAACTAGTTAAAAAGGCAGTCCAAATACAACAAAGATCAAACATTGTTAAAGCAGGAAGATAGAGTAGTCTTATACAACCCACATCAATTTTTCATGGGGAAACATGGTCTTTTGGTCAAGTTAGTTATACTGCTAATAATAAAAAGTTCAAAATTTTAACTCAACCTGCCACAACTTGTAACAATTAATGGAGGCACCACAATACTTCAATATAACATTCAAGCTATTCAATTATCCAAAGGAAAACATCTCCACAACCGTAATTGCCATTTCCTTTCTACCAACATGAGATTTCACTGATCGCACAAATGAATGCTGTTCAAACCAATATCACAAGTTGTCTTAAGGTCCAAAACTCTTAACAGTTTTGCATTGCATTTTGAGACAAGCCAAGCCATGATAAAAGCACTTCGGTATAAGCCTGGTATTTGATGCTAAATTTAAGTAGTTACTAAACCTATTAAACTAATATTTATACAACATATCGATAGGTGATATAACGACCAGCAGTCTCACTTGGCCGGATAATCTTCACAACTTGTCCACGCTTCAGTCCATAATATCTTGCAATTGGATCACTCACTTGAATGCGAGGCAACTGAGCTCCAACCACCCCCAGAAAATAGGAACAGTAGAATATCAGCAATAAATAAAACCAAACTGAGCTGTCTGTATAAAATGCATATACTACAAAATTTGACACCTGGACCTCAAGTAACAATAGCTCATTATAGTAGTTCACACAATTAAGAACACATTAAGCAGGATTTAAATTTAAGATGCTCCCAACAAAGAGAACTCAACAAGATATATAAGCCAAAAGGTAAAACTACTATGCAGGTGGGGTTCATGACTCTCAAGAGTAAATTAATAATAGATCATTAACCAAGTCATTGACATAAAACTATTATTTTTATTTTTTGGGAACTAGTAAAGTATCATATACATCTTAGTGGATTTAGCCCCCAAAACTTAAAGTAGATACAAATCAAGACAGTTTCTCATTAGCATACATATAGAAAGTTCTTTAAAAAAAACGCAAAATTTGTAGTTTTACCAAAACATTGTTGGTACCAAAAAGTCAATGAGCTTAATAAATTACAAACTCAATAACAAATCATATCATAAGTCAAAACATTAAGCTTAAGTAGCTTTAGGGCAAAGAAAATGTTTATTTAAAATTAGGCTTAGTTCCTTTTAACTGCTGCATCAGTGAACCACCTATAAGAACAAATTTTAACAACTATCTCCATCAGCTCTTCAAAATAAATCCATCCCCATTCTTGGTTGCTAATATAATAAAGGAATCAAAGCGAGAGTCCATGGTAAAAATAAAAGGGGTTCAACCAGAAATAAAGTGCGACCATTTTTACTAACAAGACACTGCAACCTGTCAGAGTGAGGCAGTTTCTAGAAACTTTCAGGTACTAATGCAGCAGAATTATGATTAGTTTGTAGTTTCACATCAGTTGATGTGAACTTCCTATGAGCAAATTAGTAATAATGACACCATAGATCAAACAAAGTGCAGTTTTAACAAAAAGAAGATATCCAGATTCTCAAAACTTACCTGTGTTTCCTTCACTGTGTACCTCTTCAGCAACGTCTTCTTCTCTTCATTAGTAAGCACCTGATGCTCAGGAACAAGAACATGTTCTTTGATGTTGACTAAAAGCTCTGCCTCCTTTAAAAATTGAGCAGCAAAATTAAAATAAAATAAAATTAACATCATCCTTCACAAGTTCAGAAAATAATGCATTACCCTTACCACAACTGAAGACCAAAAAAAGAAATATGAGAAAACCTTTGTGTAAAATCACTCTTGAAAATTATCAAAAAAAAGAAAAAAAGAAAGAAAGATATGAGAAAACCTTTTTGTGTAATTCACAGGTGCTTTATCAAAAGCAACATTTTGGAATCCAATTGATGCCTAAGCATAAATCCATTTGAACTCTTATGTAGTTCAAAGGATGGATCACAGATATTGAAAAATCCCATGATTTACTACTATTGATCATCCATGGAATAAACCAAAGTCTTCAGTCAAGTAAATGATAAAAACATTATTTTCTGCAGAAATCTTTAAGTACCACATCCAGAGGGCCACAAATATACAAATAATCCTATGAAAAATTGATTCATCAGATGAACACCGCTAGCCAAATCACGCAGAAGCAACTAATTTTACCTGGAAAACTTCCAAGTGGAATTTTGAAGAGATCTCATTTATACATGTCCGTGCAAAGGGAGTCAAGTTCTGTTGAACCACCAATATTGCTCTGAAAACGTTCTCTGATTTCATACGATTGGTATAAGTCTTCATTGTCTTAACCCCAACTTTTTGTTCGTCAGGAAAGAAAACATAAATCTGGTACACAAGGAAAACCAATGAGGATAAAACAAAAAGAAAAGCAGATAACAAAGCATGGGTACCATGACTACGAAGTAGATGCAGTCACATATCTTTAAAACTTGACTAGAAACAAATTGACCTAGGAGAGCAAAATTGAAGAGAAACATACAATCAACTTAGCTATGGAAATTTGAATAACAACCAAAAAACAAACAACAGAAGAGCAGTATAAAGTCAAAATGGCCATGAAAAATACAATACATTCGCAAACATTTAAATGTATACCTGATCACCGCTATTGTTTCGCATTGCTTTATTGATAACGAGGTCCTCCCTTTTCATGTTCTCACCATATTTCGAGAGGAACTGTTCTTTGGTCATGTTAATCTCAAAGTCTCCAACAAAATAATTCCGATCCCTCAGCATCTGCATCACCGTCTTCCTGATTCTGAAAAGCCTTTTGATTTCTTCGTCCGACAAAGTCATATTTCGCTGGTAATAGGTATCAAATTTGAAATAATGAATCAAATGATTCAATCTTTAAAAGATTGTCATTCTACCACTATTGTATAAATACATGTATAAGTTTACACATACAAATAAAACAGAGCTATTAACTTTAACTTTTTAACTTTTATGCATAAAAATTCAGCAACCAAAATCAACCCGTCAATTCAGCAACCAAAATCAAATACCACGTCAATCTAACCAAACCCTAACCAAATCAATCAACCACATAGTTTCCACTATCATACACGAAAGAGTGAGTATGTGCGAATTACAAAATATAATAGTTTTTAAAAGGAAAAACGTAATTAGCAACCACAGAAAACCCTAAAAAACGATAAATTACTACCGAAGGGAGGGAAAGTGGAGGTACCCCCAATGCAAAAGAGGGAGCTCGTGCGTGTGTTTGTAACCCTAACCCTAAGTCCTTAAGAAGCACACTTGTATTTTATCAATGGCGGCTAAAATGTTATACAAGCCGCGCTGTTTCACTATTCACTACACCTTTATCTTTATAAACTCGGAGCTACTTGGCCGAAATAAATTTAACGAAAATTACATGAGACCCTAAAAGAAGGAGATGATAAAAAGTATACGCGACATTTTCTGAATTTCTGTAATATAAAGTTATAAACAATGCCGTTAAAACTAACAGCTGAGGTAGGTTATTTTGTATTTCAACCTTTTAGAAAGGGTATCATTGACCTTTAGCATTCATTTGAAAAACCAAATACAATATTTTTTTCTCTTTTTCTCCCGCTCTTTTTTTTTTTTTGTCTCTCCTTTTCCTCCTCTTCTTCATAATATCTCTTCTGCCCCACCATTTCCATTACAAAATCCGCCTTCTTGGAGTTGCGATGAGGTCGGATCTGGCCACGCCGGCTGAAAAAGGCCCAAAAAGGCCTCTTGCAGCTGGAATGAGGCCAATCGGCTTTGGAAAGCTTTGAGGAGGCTGAAACGGGCATCCCCGCGATTGCCCAAGGCCGTTCTCGGCCTCAACAGCTGCCCGAGGCTGTTAGCGGCCATGAAGCTTTTTCCGGCCTCAAGCGGCTTCTGTTTGGTCGGATTTTGTCAAATTTTTGGGTTTTATTTGTTAGATTTTAAGGTTTACATGTTTAGAAAATCATTTTATTAAGTTTTTGGTTTGAAATTAAATGTTGTGGGTAATATTAAAATTTTTAAACTTTTTGAAGGGTCAAAAAGTCATTTAATTCATTTCTGTTTAAATTATTTAATGTCTAACAAAAAAAGGGGTTTATGGTAGAATTTCCATACCTGTGGGTGTTTTAATTTTCCTAAACCCTTGGAGGTTTTTGTGTGATAACTCCTATAAAAACTTGTACACATGTCACACATTCCCAACAGAAATTTTATTAAATGACACTATTTAGGTGTGGAGATGAAAAGTAGCACCTGTTTAAAAGTTTTCCATAATATGGCCAAATGGTATTATATACTATTTTTACAGACAAAATGCCCTTCTTTACAAATTTGTAAACCTTTAACCAAAACCTATTCTTAAACTCTTAAGACCCATTCTCCATAATTACAATCGCTATCAAATCGAAGAATATTTATGTAAATGGATGGTTAATGTTGATCGTTTGAGTTAATTTTCAGATGGGGATGTTGAAAATTGTAGGATTTTTATATTTTTGACAAAATCTAAACTACCTAACTGAGAGTATTGGCAGTATCGATTATTTTTTCAGTCCAAGGTTGAAGATACAAAAAATGTCTGATAAAACTACATAATTATCGTTTAATAGATGTATTTGGACAGCTGTAGGACATATAGGGATGTATTGTAATTTTACCTATAAAAATTATAAAACCCCTATAATTACTTCAGACATAATCAAAATACTCTCTCTAAAAATTATATGCCCCCATATAGTCCTATCGGACGTCCAATACACCCCTATTGGACGGTATCGAACATTTTTTGTCATCTTCAACCTTGGATAGTGAAAAATGACTAATACCACAAATACCCCTACTCTCCGATAACAATTTCATGTTTTATAAAAAAACAACAAAATTCTTCAATTTGAAACATCCTTAGTTAAAAATTAACTCAAACAACTAATATTAACCACTCATCTACATCAAAAACTCTAATTAACATGTTTCTTACAAAACAAACAAAATCGAATTAAGAATCGGTTTATAACATTGGTTTTCAAATTCTTCAATAGAAATAAGGGTTAATCTAGTTTCGAAGAAGACTGGGGAATATGATTAGGGTTCATTTACAGATAAGGGCATCTTCATTCTTCACAATTTTGTAAAATACCATTCGTTATTGTATAAGTAAAAGAAGTGCTACTTTTCATCTTCACCCTTAAAATAATACCGTTCTCCATTCTCAACCCAAATAATAATACCTACTGTAGACTTCTTTTAAAATCCCAAAATAGGGTTTCAAGGAGCAGAATCTTGTGAGTGGATTCTCATTCTCCAAGGCTAAAGATGAAGCTGAAGCAATTAGAAAGCCTCTTAGGTGACCTTGAACAGTTCTCCAATCCAAAGGTTCCTCTCTCACTTGACCACTTTTATGAATGAGTCAAACACTTGCGGTGAGGCTCTGAATTCTGATTATNGGTTTTTGTGTGATAACTCCTATAAAAACTTGTACACATGTCACACATTCCCAACAGAAATTTTATTAAATGACACTATTTTAATTTTAGGTGTGGAGATGAAAAGTAGCATCTGTTTAAAAGTTTTTCATAATATGGCAAAATGGTATTATATACTCCCTTTTATTCTAAATAAAAGTCGTTTTAAGTCAATGCATGTTTTTTAATAAACTAATTTTTTAATGTAAATTTTTTTTCTCTTTGCTCCTCCCTCCAACCGTGCGTGGAAAATGGAACGAAGAAAAAACAATAATGATTGATGGGAAAGTTGTGTTAAATGCCTTTTGAAAGAGAAAGAGAAAGAGAGAGAGAGAGAGAGGAGATGAGGGGTGAGGGAAAGAGAGAGATGAGACAGGGGCATACTTCGAGAAAGAGAGAGAGGGTTGCATTTGGCCAAACGAAATTTATTTTGGAAAAAAATTATAAGGCTAAAACGACTTTTATTAGGAAACAGAAGGAGTACTGTTTGTATAGACGAAATGCCCTTCTTTACAAATTCGTAAACCTTTAACCAAAACCTATTCTTAAACTCTTAAGACCCATTCTCCATAATTACAGTCGCTACCAAATCGAAGAATATTTATGTAAATGGATGGTTAATATTGGTGGTTTGAGTTAAATTTTAGATGGGGATGTTGAAAATTGAAGGATTTTTATATTTTTGACAAAATTTGAACTACCCAACTGAGAGTATTGGCGGTAGCGATTATTTTTTCAGTCCAAGGTTGAAGATACAAATGGTGTCTGATAAGACTATAATTATCGTCTAATAGATGTATTTGGACATCTATAGGACATATAGGGATGTATTGTGATTTTACTTATAAAAATTATAAAACCCCTATAGTCACTTTAGACATAATCAAAATACTCTTTGTGAAAATTTATGCCCCCCTATAGTCCTATCGGCAATCCAATACACCCCTATTGGATGGTATCAAACAGTTTTTGTCATCTTCAACCTTGGATAGTGAAAAATGACTAATACCACCGATACCCCTACTCTTCGATAACAATTTCATGTTTTATAAAAAACAACAAAATTCTTCAATTTGAAACATCCTTAGTTAAAAATTAACTCAAACAGCTAATATTAACCACTCATCTTCATCAAAAACTCTAATTAACATGTTTCTTACACACAAAATCGAATTAAGAATCGGTTTATAACATTGGTTTTCAAATTCTTCAATAGAAATAACGGTTAATCTAGCTTCGAAGAAGACGGGTGAATATGATTAGGGTTCATTTAAAAATAAGGGCATCTTCATTCTTCACATTTTAGTAAAATACCATTTGTTTTTTATGAGTAAAAAAAGTGCTACTTTTCATCTTCACCCTTAAAATAATACCGTTTAGTATAATTTTTCCATTCTCAACCCCATTAATGAAATAATAACACCTACTGTAGACTTCTTTTAAAATTCCAAAATAGGGTTTCAAGGAGAAGAATCTTGTGACTTGTGAGTGGATTCTCATTCTCCAAGGCTAAAGATGAAGCTGAAGCTGAAGCAATTAGAAAGCCTCTTAGGTGGCCTTGAACAGTTCTCCAATCCAAAGGTTCCTCTGTCACTTGACCACTTTTATGAATGAGTCGGAACACTTTCGGTGAGGCTCTGAATTCTGATTATATTTGTTACCGCAGGTGGAACTAGAGCAGTATCCGACGGGACCCCACATCGCTGCTCGCATGCTTTACACTGTATTTATCACTCTTTGATTGGTTTTAGGATTAAATTTTTAATCAATGAATGACATGTTTTATTATGGAGCAGGCGGAGAATTCTTTTGGGGATGTTACCGATAAGTTAGTGGCTGATTTTGGTTGCGGGTGTGGTACGTTAGGTGCTGCAGCTGCTCTCTTGGGTGCAGAGTGAGACATTTTTCTTCCCCTACTTTTACGCGCGCTCTTTTTAGTTCTCAAATATCCATTTTCATATCAAATCTATCCTTTCTCAACAACTAATTATACTGGTCATTGTTTGTAATTCTTTTTATCTTTCGTCTTGTCCTCGTGGATTCTTTGAACTGATTTTTTTTTTAGAAAAGTTTCCTTCAAATTGCGGAAAATGTTTCTATTGAGTACAATTTTTTTATCTCTGTACCGATTTTTGTTTTTTTGTTTTTTTTTGGTTTTTTGGCAAAATGCAAACGGTTTTCCTTCTATATTTCTCATTTTTTTTTCTTTAATCCTGTAATAGACAGGTTATCGCTATTGATATAGATTCACAATCTCTTGAGATAGCATCGGTAAATGCAGAGGATCTTGAGGTACTGTATCTTTAATTTTGAGCATACAATACTACTCTATCTCTATGGCTAATTTAATTGTAGCTTCGATAATTAGAACAGTGGCTGTCCCCGGTAGATAACTGATGCGTTGTCCTTTCATGATTGAACTTGCAGTTGGACATAAATTTTATTCAATGTAACATCATGAACTTAGAATGGAGAGGTAAAAAAATCTCCGCCCACTTGAACTCTCTGCTTGATATCATGTAATTTTCATCATGGGACATCCATTGATTTGGTTTCATCGGATACAATTAGCACTTGGTATTGTAAGAGACAATGAGTCTTCCCCGGGTGAAGTCTTGTACATATGCAACGTAAAGTTTTCTTTGTTTACAATAGCAAGGTTGCGAACACCCACTTGGCATTCTTTACTATCTTTTTAAATTTCATGATTTGGAGTTCAAGGAAAATGGTCTTGTGGTTCATCTTTTTAAACTTTTAATTATCATGTTGTGAGAGTCATTGCTGTATGGTGAAGGTAACTAGGATGAGATGGACGGTTGGTATGAGTTGACGTGGGGGTTATTGTCCACTATTGGGGAAGGGAGGGGTGTGTGTGTGTGTTTGTTTTTGGTTTAGAATTGCAGGGTTAACAATAACCTTCCTCTTGTAATGGAAATGAGTTTATTGGTAACTGTTTCTTCTCTGGGTTATTTGTAAACTATGTTGGACATTTGTCCATCAATGATATCCCAAACGGCTCCTTTCTTAATTTGTGTGATAAATAAGATATTTGTTTGTAATTGATGGAGAAATAGGTATTTGAGTTTCTAGTTGAATGCATAATATTATGTTTAAGTTTATGAGATATTTTATCCATTTGCTCTGTTGTTGAACTTTTGCAACTTATATGTTCGCCTTATGGTTGGTCTCTTGTTTAGGTCAAACTGTTGATACTGTTGTAATGAATCCTCCATTTGGAACTCGGAAAAAGGGGGCTGATATGGATTTCCTCTGTGTGGCTTTGAAGGTAAATACAGGACTGAAGATTGATGTTATATGTCTCAATTTGATCTCATTTGATCTATAATGTATACATTGCTCGTGTATTGGTTGTGCTAGGTTGCATCTGGAGCAGTTTATTCCTTGCATAAGACTTCCACAAGAGATGTGAGTCATTTTCTTAGAATATTTAGCTGTTAATTTTTAAATTGTTATTGCCACTCTTACTTGGCCTGATCTGATCTGCCATTCAAGTATCTTATACATCATACTAAATGTTACATGAAGGGAGGTAAATGAGTCATTCAGTTTCTCATCTTTCTTTGGTCATTAGAATTATGTAAATCTGTAACCTGGATTCTTTTTTTGTTAGATTTATATAAGAGCACTGCACTGTTTACAATATGGTACCATAAAGCAAAATATGGATACATAATATTTCTTTTCACTTTTTCTGTTCATGTGTGTGGGTTTCATTTTTTTTTTTTTTTTTTTCATTTTCAAATGGACCCACTTAAGTGGAGCCTCAAATGTTTGGCCATAAGGACAATTGGAATTTGTTTTACCAGCTGGATATAGTTTATGCAAATATCAGCTTGATGCAATCAATTCGGAAATTTCTGCAGAAAGGCCAGTTTTATGTAAAATATTTGATTTGATTGTTACAATAATCCACGATTGGTTAAGGACTTGCAAGATCCAATTATACATTGCTCCAGCTTCTTTTTTCCCCCCTTCTCTTCTTAAGGCTTGTTTGTTACAACTCTACTACTTAGAAGAGCTTTTTTAAAATTAAAAATTTTTTAATTTGTATTTTTGTTATGTTGCTTCTCTGCAATTCAAGAAAGAGTTAGCAAGTGATTGAATAGAGTGGTTTTATATTTAACACCTCAATGTTATTTTAGAAATTCTTCATCCTTTCTTTATGATAACCCTACTTTTTTAATTTATTTCTAGAAAAGTATTCCATGTTTATGCATTAAACAACTTACTACTTTTTAATAATGGCTCCAATTTTATAAGCTTTACTTAAAAGAGTCATACTAAATGGAGTGTTAAGTCCTATTTTCTTATGTCATCTTAATTTTTCAAAAAATTGCATAATAAGTGGAAGCATCAGAAGATCTTATACTTTGTTTCTGTGTACATTACTATGATCCCATTACTTTTTATGAATTTGACTTTTTTGTTTGCTTGATGCTAGGCCTCCTTGTGGCATTATATACCGTATGTGACATTGAAATGTCTCTAATGTTTTGGTAAATTTTTGCTTTGGCTGACGAATGACAAGATCTTTTCTTCTTGGCATCTCAGCATGTGAAAAAGGCAGCATTGCGAGACTTTAATGCTAGTAGTGCTGAGGTTTTGTGTGAGGTGAGTGAAGATGGCTTTGCTTGGAGCTAGTTTATTGACACTATAAAGTGGAGTTTACATAATCTGATTCTTTATTCTTGCATTGTTAGTGATTTTGATTAGTACTATACTTTCCGGACTCTAAAAAATGATGCTGCTTGTTCAATTGTCGTTTATTGATTTCCTTTTTTTCCCAGCTTCGATATGATGTTCCGCAATTATACAAATTTCATAAGAAAAAGGAAGTGGATATTGCTGTGGACCTCTGGCGATTTGTTCCTAAAAGGAATCAAAGAAAGGTTACTTAGCATATGCATTGGGGTGTATCATAAACAATATACATGTTTGAAAAATATTCAAGAAATTTGTATTTATGCAGAATGGAAGAGACTTCTTTATTTTTCTTATCTTAATTTACGGGGTGGAACTTCGTGAAACGTATATAGTCAATCAACAATTTTTCGGATCATTCTTCATTGAATTTGTTGAAGCATTGCCCTCAAAATAGAGAGCAAAGATATTTCATGTTTGGTTTTGTCATAAGAGGGAGAGTTTTTTCTGATCTTGCCCCGACTAGTACTGGGCAAATCGATTTGTCACCGTCAGATCTTCCTTTTGACATTCAGAATTACTTTCTCCAGGAGAATTGGGACTCTTCTCTATATGATTTAAAAGAAGTTTTATGATAATCTTACACAAGTGTCGGGAAATATTTGAACACAAGTATAACAGGCCATACTTAGATTGACTAAAAATAATAATATAAAATATGCTTGAATGAACTGTGTTTTCATATTTTCATTTTGCATAAAATAGATTTGAAATGTTCCTCTTCTTCAAAATCAAAAGTAGTGGATCATATAACAAAACTGAAAAACAAAACTACTTTGCTTTAATCACAACAAAAAGAATCAGATTAGTCTCTCAATTCAAAATTCTCCCACCTGTACTTGCGAAGATCTCCCTCACTATTTCTGACATTCTCCCATCTCATGCTTCAGTTTCTGTTTTTGCATCTTCAGTTGTCTCTCCAAGAGTAAACCGAACAAATCTTCGAACTTTTATGTTCTCACCAAGAGCAGCAACAGTTTGCTTCACCAAGTCTTTCACCAAAATACTGTCATCCTTTATAAAAGGTTGCTCTAAGAGAGCAAGCTCTCCAAGCCTCTTTGTGATCCTCCCCTCAACAATTCTCTCCCTTATGTTCTCTGGTTTTGACAAAAGGTCCTCTCTCTGCATCTCAATCTCTTTTTCCTTGTTTATAATGTCTTGCGAAATGTCTTCAATGGATACAAATTGCACCTGTGGGCATGCCACAACTTGCATTGCTAGATCATCAACCAACTCCTTGAATTTTTCACTTCTACCCACAAAGTCAGTCTCACAATTTACTTCAATTAGTACCCCAATACGTGAGTCATGAATGTAGGAACCAATTCTGCCTTCTGCTGCAAGTCGGCTTGATTTCTTGTCTGCAGCTGAAAGGCCTTTCTTTCTCAGGTACTCCTGTGCCCTCTCAAGATCTCCTCCAGTTTCAGAGAGAGCTTTCTTGCAGTCCATCATCCCTGCTCCTGTTTCCTCCCTTAGTTGTTTAACAAGTGCGGCTGAGATGGTCGCTGCTGGTGGCCTGAAATAGGGTTTGAGCGCTTGTAAGACTTGCAACATATTCAAATATAAGTAGGCTATATTTATTTTCACTGGAAGTTGACAAAATAATGTTTATTTGATAAACCCTTAATGCCTCAGATGGACAGACAGGTTTTACCACCGTTGTCCCTCTCACCCTAAGACCTGACTTTCCCAGGTCTCCTATTCTCACGAAGCTGCAGAACCAAAAAACTTTTGGCGATAAAATGATAACAGAAATATTGAATACATGTTGCTGAAAATTAGAGAGAAAATGAAACCTATCATCATCACTTATGAAACATTTTCATTCATTGCTGAGGTAAGATTCTGACATGCATAAATTCTATCTTGAATTAATAATGGTTCTAATTGTCAGACAACACAAATTAAAATGAAAATCAGTGGTTAACTGGCTCTAGAGATGCATTGTCTTGATGTCTTCACATTAAATTATTAAAACAAATTTCATGTTGTGATGTAAAGTTCATATGAAGCCTACTCATAAAAGTGGGAAGTGAAAAAATACTGGCTTTTGGTTATACAGCTTTAAGATCCAATATATGGGAAGACTACTTGTTTTCAATTGTAATTCTGAGCTAAATCTGTGCCACCTTAACACCTAATCTTCCATTCACATAAACAAAAATTCTTTTCCAAATTTTTATGGTTAGTCCATACATTTCAGAGTATCTAATTTCCTGAGAAAGCATTAATCATTGCATTATTACATGAGTAAAAGTTCACAGAAAGCAGTCACTTACTTCTCAACAGTTTCCTTTGTTTCCACGGCAGCAGGCTGATCTTTTACCACCGGCTTTGCTGCAGTTTGAGCAGCCACCTCAGCAGCAAAATCCTGGCTTTTCTTCTCCAAGCCCTCCCCAAGATTGTATCGCACAAACCTCCTCACTTTAATATTTTCACCAATGGTTGCAATGGTCTGTTTCACCCAGTCCTTTACCACCACTTTATCATTCTTTATGTAGGGCTGTTCAAGCAATGCCAGTTCCTCAAGCCTCTTCCTGATCCGTCCTTCAACAATCTTTGACCTGATCTGCTCTGGTTTCGACAAGAGATCTTCCTTCTGCATTTCAATTTCTTTCTCCTTGTTCACAATCTCTTCAGGAACATCGTCTGTAACAAGATACTGTACTTGAGGGCATGCAGCCACCTGCATGGCAAGATCATCAACCAACTCCTTAAAAATGTCGCCTCGGGAGACAAAATCTGTCTCACAGTTCACCTCTACCAGGATGCCAATCCTGCTATCATGAATATAAGAACCTATTCTTCCTTCAGCAGTGGCTCTGCTGGCTTTCTTTTCTGCACTTGCTAAACCTTTCTTTCGAAGAAATTCCTGAGCTTTGACAATGTCTCCTCCAGTCTCTGCAAGAGCTTTCTTGCAGTCCATCATTCCTGCTCCTGTTTCTTCACGAAGCTGCTTTACTAGAGCTGTGGATATAGATGCTGCAATCCACAAACGAACAGAACTAAATAGAAAAACATGGTACTGCTAGTAGGAGGCAGCCATTGCTATACTAATTACTCACACAAAACAATGACCAGTCATTGATATACTAATTACAGACACCCGACAGAATCAGAACAACACCATCTAATAACTGGAATCATTAATAGTTTCACCATTCTTTGGTGAGGTGAATCCTCATTTCAACAAGGCCTAAAGACAATATTACCAATAACTAATAGCTTCTATCTAAAGCCTTGCCTTGGTTCTACTACATCTTACAAATTATAAATAACAGTACCAGCAGACATCAAGTCCCAATTAAGAAATGCCTTTGAGCAAGCAAGAATGACAGCCAAAAGAAATATAAATAGGGTCCAAACCTGTAATCACGTTTTCCTTGGGCGAAGGAGCGTCAGGTTGTCCATTAGAATTTCCTACATTGTCATTTTTCTCGGGATCAGGTCCTGTCTTTTCATCTTCAACTGCTGAGGTTGTCACAACTTCAGTCTCAGCAGCAGGTGCTTGTATCTGCACTTCATCCTTGGTATCATCAACTTGATTCTCCACAACTTCCTCAATGACCTGACTTCCAGAAGAAACGGTCTGGTTCACAGCTGATTCCCCAGATGGATCAGAATTTTCATCAACTTCTCCAGCTGCACCAGAACCAACAAATATGAAAACGTACCCAACAAAAAGAATGCCATGCTATGACATTCTGAGAGGAGGCCAACTAAGAAGCCATTTTCTCTTCATATGAGACATCATGATTCTTCTCTTAAATACAACATCTAAGTGGGCTGTCAATCATAGAATGAGGAATTGTTGAAAGAACCATCATAAAACAATCATGTTTGATATGCCTCACCTATTTTTGTTTGTCTGCAAAACCACAATCTATATCTTATAAATGTCCACCAACATTTTATTTTTGCCAACTGAATATCTTAACAACAAACTATCAGCTCAAATTTTTATGTAATAATTTAGTTAAGCACATGTCATCTCTTTAATTGTGAAGAATTATGTAATACATAGTAAGTTGCCACTTTGGACATGAAGATTATGTTTCCCAGACAGCAAGTATACAAACAATCATTAAAAACTAAAGCACATGAAAGCATGTAATGAACCTTTGGTTTCCTCGGGTTGTACAACAGAGCTGGAGACACCACCATTTTTGTCAGGAGTAGGTCCTGCCTCTTCGTCTTCAGCTGGTGCAGCAGTAGGAATATTGGTCTCTGCCGTAGGTGTTTGTATTGGCATTTCAACTTTTGCCACGACATCATCACTTTTACTCTCTAAAACTTCATCTTTTGAGCTTTTTGAAGACAAGACTTGTTCAGCTATTTCTTCAGATATGTTGGTTGAAGTAGCCTCCTCGATTGTTTGATTCTCAGTAGATACACTCCCTTCAGCAGCCAAACTTTTGCTACTCTCCTCCGGTTCTTTCTCCATGGTTTGGGGTGCACCATCCACACTTCCTGATGAGCCAGATAATGTATCAGCCTCCACAATCTCCTCCTTTGAAGGAACTTCATCATTTTCCACTACTTCATCAAATGCAGAAGGGGCACTGACCTCTGGTTGCTCCTGCACCTCAGAAATACTGGATTCAACTTCGGTTTCATTTAACTTTCCTTCTATTTCTTTTGGGGTCTTCAGTTCCACTGTTTTTTCAACTACTTTCTCTGTTTTATCCCTCTCATCCAAAAAAGCAGCAATATCTTTGTTTTGACGGAACGCCAACACAAAGGGGTTTGTTGCAACGTGGACAACCCCTTGAGCAACCTGTAAGTCTGATTTAGCATCTTCTTCTTTCTTCATTGTCAAAGTTACTTGTCCCCTTGAGATACGCAATACCCGCACACTGACTTCTTGGCCTACCTGCAGCGACGAGCCGCCCATCATGCTTGCAAGTCCATCATCAGATACCTCTGATGTAGGGAGAAATCCTTCCTCCCCTTCAGGAAGAGATATAAAAGCACCAGCCCTAACTAAGTTCTTCACTGTGCCCTCCAAGTCCTGTCCCTTGACAAACTTGGTGGTTTTCACCTCAGCCCGTTTTTGATTGGGCTTTGAGGTGCCCCGTCTGGCAGGCCTTGCCTTCTCGCTACTGGCGGGAGCATCTTTCTCTTGCTGCAGCTTGCTAATATCATCACTTTCTCGCATGGTAAGAGAAATACGTCCAGTCTCATTATTTGCTTCAATCAATCTGACCTTCACCTCTTGGCCGACAGAAACAAAACTTCCAACATCCTTAACAAAGTTATCACTCAACCTTGAAACGTGCACCAGGCCATCTGTGAAAGCTCCAAAATCAACAAAAGCACCAAATGGATGGATTGATTTTACTTTACCAGTAAATGTTGCACCAGGAATTAATTCCTCATCCTTTAGAGGAGGCATCTCACTTTTCCTAACTGGTCTTGACTGTTTTGACTGAGCTGGAGTGGGACTTGTATCTGATCTTGAAGAGGAAGTTTCACTTGTTTCAACCACATCAGATGGAATGTCTGAGGCCCCGGCCGAACCTTCATCTGCAGCAGGTGAATCTGGTTCCTCTACCACTACATCAATTCCTGTGGCTGATAATATACGGATTCCAGATTTATCATGTAAAACACACCCCCTTTGGTATTGTGAAAATATTCTAACAGAAGAAGAAAGAGGTAAAACATATCTTGTGGAGGATATTGTATGTTTTGCAGATTTTCTGGTTGAATTGCATCTTGTTAAACAGTTTTTGTTCTTTATTATAAAAGCATTCACAGGAATGGGTGAAATATTGCTTATAGAACATGGGATCACAGGCGTCATGTTAACTGCAACAGCAAGGTTTAAGGTGTAGTTGGCAGCTAAAACAAGTTATTCATCAGATCTTCACCTGCACATATAATAAAAGGCATGGGTTATAAATCCCTGCAAAAAGATGCCCAGCTACGCATGTGATAAAATCAAGGTGCATACTATCTTTTACAACTATAGAAGCCCAGAGTTGGAAATTTGCTTAGCAGGAAAAATTTTACAATTGCATGCTGTGCATTGGTCTTGAGATGAATGATTAAATCTGCTCAACAAATGATTTTCTGGTTCAAACAAATTCATCATTGCCTAACTAGGTTAAATGGCTCATATGGGCATAGCATTGCCATCACAACATAAAGAGACAAGTTAAATCTCAGGTCATACATGGTCCTAACTTTCATATTTGCAGAATTTGGCCTAAAAGAGAATATCATGTCAAACAACAAGAAGCCCACTTAAGGCAGAGACTAGATCGATGTTATCCTGACAATTCTGAGCATTGCTAATGCCAGTAGTGAAAATACATCCTCCTGGTGGTAAATGTTTCAACAAGTTCAATAAGTTTGCTTGGTAGTTTGCCTTTGTGATACACCTTAAACTTAATTCAACTTTGGCAGTACATCACTAAGAAAACTCAAATCTCTGAGCAATGAAAAACAGAAGTTAGATAATGGAAATAATGCAAAGAATTCCAATCCAGAATCATTACCATGTGTGAAATATCTCATGAGTTAATCAGATCACTGAAGTCACAATATTCTTTCTTGAGATATTCACAAAGTTCATAGCTTCAAGAAAAAAAATAAAACACAAAATATAATCGGTCAAGTCCAATTCAGTCAATACGTTTATTTGGAATAACTACCGAAAGAATAATAACACGACTGCAGCAAGCGGGAACATCATTTTCCTTCACTTGGTCCAAAGGTGGGTAATGTTTATTATTTTTCTTTCTCCTTCTCCCAAGTTAGATAGCTAAAAATTAGTTACACCTTATATGGCTCATGATACACCTATCCCAAGTTGTTTGTATCCACTTTCAATCACTTGTACAAATATTAGCTGATTGAGTTCCAAATCTCCTCATTTTACTTTCTCACGGTCCTTGAAAACCCAAACCATGAATAGCAGTAAGCATGCCAGACTTCAACAAGAAAAGTAAACAAGTTTTTCTGTTAAATATACCAAACATCCCTAGGGCATTCCAGTTTTCCCCGAACTATTGGAGCTTAACACCATAAAAGCCAAAAAGACAATGACGAAAATTGAAGTTCTAAATTAGCCACCCCATCAAACTCACATTCAACCAAATTATTCAAATAAACTGGATGATGAATTATATGTTATGATACATATATATCGAAACCTCATGCACACAGAGAAATAAGCAAGCATATTTCATCAAATTGCAAAAACAACTAAACAAAAAGTAGTGAGTCTTTCAAATGCATTGTAAAGAAATAAACACCAAAAACAAGTAAATCCAGTTAACATTTCAGAAAACTATCCATCTGAACTATAGCCAAACTTTCTATTGAAATTCAATGAACTATAAGAAAAGTTTTACATATTTCAAAAGGAGAAAAAAGAAAGCACCAGACTTCATACATAACTCAGACAAGAAAAAACCAAGAAAAAGCATATTAACTTATTAAGAATCAGAGAACGATTAAAACCAACCGACAAATAATGTCTTTAAGTTACATAAACACAAAGAAGCTCGAAAAACAAATACCCATAAGCTTACATATAAGTAAAAAGGTGTACCTAACGTTGAAAAGAAAAAGCTTCAAGTTTGGAGGTAGAGTGTATTGAAGAAGAGAGGAGAGTGAAATGTAAGGTGAGGCCTTGAATCCTTATCTTATGAACCACTGTCTTTGTTTCGAGTTCTTTGGATAAAAATTACGATGATGTTCTTTTGCAGTTTAATTGTGGGGACCCACGTTTGCCCAAAAAAGACAGAGATTCAGCCTTCATGGGCGAAGTCCAAGTCCCACAAAAGCCCAACTGTGTTATTTGATCTCATGGGTTTCTTATTTGGTCTCCCATTGTTGATCATAAATCATAGCCCAACCATGCATATTGAAAAGTGCACTATAAAACAAAAATCTGATTGTTTTAATGCATTGTGAAGTGTTATGTATCTTTTTAAACCATTTTATAAATAATGTGAATTGATTATATTAATTCTTTTTATTTATTTATGTCTTTAAAATGTGTCACTTATCAAACTATACATATGTTACATTTTTTTTTTTATAAGCAAGGTGTCCAAGCCAACTTGCGCACATCTCAACTAATTATTGGAATCAAATTTATCATGTATATGTATAGGACTTTCAAATCAGTAATTAAGGACATTTTATACATGATAAATTCTTAGAAAAGTAGTATTATAAGAAGATTATTGAAAGGAACTGTTGTAAAATCGATTTACCTTACTACTTGGATTTTTTTTCCTTGGCTTGAGAAAATCTCTCCAGGGAGTCTTACTTGATTACTATACTCAAACCGTTAACTAATCATCTTGTTTGTTTAAACCTGGAAAAAAAAAAAAAAAAAATCTGTCCTATTGAATTATGGTAAGAAATTTTCCTTCTGAGCTTAATAAGCTGTGTGTTTCAGTTTCTACTCGAGGCTGGTGATGAACTTGCATGATTAAACAAGCTCTTTCAATACACCATGAACAAAATATTTATTCTTGTACTTATTTGTTTCCTATTAATTAAAATTCTAGTATGCTAACGTGTTAGATGGATCCCAAAGTTGTCATAATCTTGTGTCACATATACGTTTCTGACGATCAAATCTTCTAACTTTTCTTTTTGAACTGAGCAAAAACCTTTCTTCAGCGGGAAAATCAAGAACTTGTCAGAGGGGAAACCTAACACATCTAGAATGGTCAAATGCCACAAAAGTGAAGTGATTATAAAAATAATAATGTGACTACATGCATGCATGCAAGCTAGGTTTTGTAATGCAAAAGCGTATACTATGTTGGGCAGCATGATCAAAAATCCATAATTTATTAATTTCATTATAAAAGAAGTAATATTAAACTAAATACGAGAGCATGGGTTAAACTATTAAAAATAATTCACCACGAAGGTGTATGACCTCATCAATACTCGGATACTGTACAATAAAGACAATTAACAAATTCAATTCATGTTTGTTTAACAAAGAAAACTTTATAACCAGATACTCCATTATTCTTCCCCATGCTAGCAACCCGTTTTAAAAAACTCTCCCACGTGGTGAAGAGGAACATTTTACAGGTGTTTATCTAATAAGCTAATTGCAAATTGAGCAGGTTGGATACTAAATCAAACAAGGTCGTAACATGATTAACGATTAATTAAGCAGGCTGTAGTACTTTTAAAGTTAACAACATTAGTTCATGTTATTTACAAATATTTTTAATATAAAAACATTTTAAATACTTTTAGAAGAAATGCTTCGAATAACATATAAGTATGGTCTTTCTTTTTTCTTTTATTTTGGTATCTGTATATCAATATTTTAGTATATTTCTCTATTCATTTTTTTAACTTGATCAAGTGCTCTTTATTGTTGCGATTGTATTTATAGGAACTAAACTCAAAATATGATTGGACAATTTGATTGTTACGAATCTTAGGAATCAATACAAAATATGAATGATCCAATGAGATAAAACCTAGTGACCCTCCTAATATGATTGATCAACCAGCTACATTATTGGAGAGTTTCAATCATGAAAAATAAATCGAATTATGTTGACAGTAGTGGGATTAATTTTCTAAATCAACAACATAAGAAACCGTATCCAAGATAGATCATAACAGCACTGGGGATGTTGGTTTCGGGATTGGTATTTTCAATTGAATGGGGGACAAGAGGACCAAATGCATTAATAGAGCGACATTTCCAAGTCATTTGTGGAGCCTTTTAAAAGATTTTCTCTGTAGACTGCAATATCCAAAGGTGCCAAGTGTTGAATTTAGCAGTAACTCCACATGTGGGTCTATCAGGAGCTCTTTTTGCAGTTCCGAGGTCCCATTTCCAGTTGTACCAACTCCCATAATTAATCCTAATTATACAATATTCGTAAGAGACTTTCTTCACTTAATATTTTATCTCAAAAGAAAATCTCACACCTAGGCTTAACATGGATTCATGGGCATTATTTTTTTAGGCTGAGCTTTGAAAGCTAATTAATTATAAGATATCGTGTATGTATCCAATAAGAGGTTCATTGACTCAAATAATGTTGTTTTAATCAAGAATATGAGCATCTCGGTCACTACCTAAAGCATTTTAGCTCATATGCCCACATGATCCACCCAAATCAAGCTCTCTAATTTAGCTATAGTACGTTAATTATAAATTAAATGTTCAAAATGATGATAGGAATTGATTCATTATATGCTCTCATATTTGAATGTCATTGGTTGAACTGAAAAAATGATATTTTATTTGTACGTATTTAACGATGACGGGCATGAATTTGATATAATTATATCATGACGTCTTGACTAGAGAATTAATATATATATATGTGTGTGTGTGTGTAATTATATATATATGTAATTGCTTGTACAGGTAGGTCTATTGCAACTGCATTCTATTTGATTAACAAAATGCACTTTAGTGTATTGCATAGAAACTTAATCACCATTTTTTAACTTCCGGATTCTATTCCATCTTGGCAACACGCATATAAATGGGGATATGTGCATAACTTAAAATTAACTAGTTTGGCTCATATCTTCTGTTATCAGTAGTACTCTTCCTTAAGTCCAGCACTAATTGTATATTACTTGATATACAGTATGTGATTGTACATGACAACTTAGAGAGGCAATCGGAATTCGTTCCAGACTCTCAACTTCATCATAACATTTGCAACCAGGCCAATAAATTAAAGCTACATGCTAGCTCTTGATGTATTGAGTAAGCACAGAAACTTTAGAAACCAATATAACATATATACATCCTCTTTCTGAAAAGGAGCTCAAGTTATAGATTGCATATGCCAAGTTTAATTTCTTTTACGGAACCCATTGGCCAATTGATTACTTCCTTTTGGGACTACATGCAAGTAATTAGATCGAAGTATATCTTTTTCATATCGATATTCATGATGGCTTCTCTCTGCCCTTGTTGACTAAATAATCAAGTAAACCGATAGGATGAATAGATCCAAGTAAACCAAAAAAGTTAAAAAATAAGACAAAGTTATGAAACTATTATACATGTGATAATTTAGAGAAAACTAATGGCAATTTACAGATCATCATAATTTCACTTTCCATCTTCTTTATATTATTATTATTACCTTTTAGGGCCACTAAGATAAAATTCTATTAGGAGGAAACTTAAATTTAACGAAAACATTCATAAGTTTATTGTGTATAATTTATAGCCATTGAAAGTTCTTCTGGGCACTTCTTTTAAATTATATATATCATCGGTAGGGTTAATTCTGAAATTCACTAGTATATTAAAATAATCACTGGTATATCAATACTGGTATACTAAAAGTTAGATGCAATTAACAATTTTATTTAAAACAATAACGTATAATGACTATTCACTATCAACCAAAAAATTATATAAACCACAATGCAAATATCCAAAATCTAAAATTTTCATACACTCTAATATCTTACAATGGTTGTCGAAGATTTAACAACAGAAATCAGTAATATTTTACAACTACCGATAGATATAGTACAACAAATCATTGTTAAAGCAACTCGAAGAAGCATCCAGACTCTATGCGCAATTTGGTTGACGTAAGGACTACTAACTCCAACGGTATTGATTACTATATCAAAATACTATCACAAGATATAAATTACACTTTATTTATCTAACATTTTGCAGATGCAAATATCTTAACAAACAAGCAAATACAAAGAAAGTACTGTGTAAAAGAAATATCTACAAGCAAAGATCCAAGCTACCAGCAATCACGCCACAAGGACTTTCAATTTTAAAAATGTTTGCAAATGCAGAAAATATACATGCTTTATTACTGCTTGGAACACATTGAGTCTTCATCAAACGTGATGTATACATAGGTTTACCGATGCTGAATGCAGCTTGCAGAACAAATACAATGCAAGCACTATATCACTTTGCAATTGCTCTGCTCACCATATATGAACGAAAAGGTATACAAATTCTACTCAAGTTGGTCAAAAATCCATACTATTTTGTCAAGATGAGAAATTGTAGAGAAACCTTCAAATCCCTGACTCCAACAGCAACGATTCTCATCCAAAGAAATACATTTAGGATTTGTGATAAACAAGATGAAAGTGTTGTACATTGGGATAGAATAACAACACCAAAAAATATCACCTGCCAAAATTGTTGTGTAGATTACCAGATAGTACGTATAAAATACAATTTGTAATAGAAATATAAGGACATCAAATTAGAATCTTAATAATATTTTACTAAATTTTAATAAACCAATGATTATTCAGAAATAACCCTACTGATGATATATATATATATGACCCAACAAAAATAAAAAATAATTAAAGAATGTTATAAATAAAAGTAGAGAGATCATATTTCACCAGCAGATGTGATCATATTGGATGATCGATCTTTTTCAAGAATCTTGGAGGATTCTTATATATATAAAACTAAAAAAGTTAAGATACCTAGAGTCTACTCTTTCTATGATATTTCCCTCTTACACATAAACTCAACTCCAGGTTTATCGATCTCAAGTTCTCAACCATGGATCACCAAAAAGAAAGACGAAAATCAAAGGAAACCCCTACACTCTCTAAGGTGTTTGGTACAAGTCCCCGTGTAGATATAGGAATAATCAATGAAAAATCTAATTAAAAATGAGATAGAAGTTGATTTGGTTTTATA